ATGGAGTCCGGGGCTTTAGCTGATACAGATCTGCGTGAGTCTGAAGCTCAGAGGTTGTGCCTAGCAGTCCCCAAGTCTTGTGAGGAGCTGGGTGTACTGTATGTGGATGGAAGTGGAATTCTTACATCCACGGAGAATTTATAGTTTGTTCTACACTTGAATACTCATATCCAGTTATTTAGTTAAAGCCTTTGGCTTTCATTAAAGTTGTTAACATTTGAAGTGTTGAACGATGTAGCCTCCCTGATGTGGAAATATGAATGTTTTTCTCATTTATTAATGTCCTATAGTGAAGGCATAACCTTTTACTTAAAATAATTGGTTTGGAAATGGAATTATAACATTTACCCTCCCCTTACATCCCCTGCAATTTGTGAATTTGCTGGTTATTCTTCTTGGTTGGGAGTATGAGTTACTATTTGCCTTTAACCGATATGTGTACCCAGACACGTACACACGTACTTACATGCACGATGCAAAAAAAACTTTTAGGGAGTAAATTTAATTGCAGTTACAAGCAGGGAGGGTATGGTAGGTAGGAGTGAGAGTTTATAATGCTGATCATGAAATAAAAAACATCAAAGCAAGTAATGAGTCTAAACTTGATACTGATACTGTATTTCTATAGCATTTAAAGCAAATAAAGTCACACAAGGATTTAACACAAAATTAGAATGTTAAGTTTGAAAGATTCTTAGTACATCTCCAAGTGATTAGATTATCACAAATTTCCCTGGAAAGGTAGTAATTAAATCAACAACACTGCAAAAAAAACCAAACAAGACAAAGCAAAATGAAAACAAAAACTGAAAAACCAAAAGCCAGAAAAATTTGACAGTCCTAAATGAATGGGTAATGTAAGTATAGTTTCAGCAGCTATTAGACACGAAGTAAATGATCTTCTAATCAATTTGCTGCTACAAATATAAGTCAAATGATTTTCTTGGGACACATATGAGTATTGCTACCTTAATTATTTTGTTTCTACCCGAAGGTATTTAAAACACAACTAACCACGGTAGTTAGATTTTTAAAGTTATTCTTGTACTTACGAACAGAGAATTAAGGATGCACTAAAGCTGATTTTAATTTTGTTCTTTTGGTGGCTACTTTTCTTTTTTAAGATTTATTTATTTTAGAAAAAGAGAGAGAGAGTGGGGAGGGGTGGGGTGGGGAGGGGCAAGAGGGAGAAGGAGAGAGAGTCTTAAGCAGATTCCGTGTTGAGCATGGAGCCCTACCTAGGGCGAGATCTCACGACTCTGAGACCACAACCTGAGCTGAAACCAAGTCAGATGCTTAACTGACCGCACCACCCAGACGCACCTTGGTGGGTGTTTTATCATTATCCATATTGTAGGGTATCGTAAGCATTGGTGAAAGCCAATAGGAAGAAATTTGTGACTTGCTCTATACTAAGATTCACACATTAATAAGCTGGACAGTGTTCAAATTAATCTCATCTAACCAAAATCCTCTTGGTAGGTACTCAGTGGTAAAATAAATCATTAAATATTAATAATAGTTATTAATTGTCATACTTTTTTGATGAGGTTATCCATAGCAGTAGGAACTTCTGTGTAAACTTGGTAATACCTTGTACAAGGCCTGAGTAACTTTCTGAGTAAAGAAAATTCATGTACTAATGCACGGTTAACTAGTGTTTAGTTCTCTCAACAAGCCTTGGAGAGGACTGTAATTCAAGCAAGAGGTTTATCCAGCTAGCATCTGCACAGGGAACAACTTGCCTGACAATCTCTCTCAATATATTCATATAACACTAAAATATCAATACAAAAATAAGAGTAGTATTAATGATGTTATTAATGATAGTAGCAGACACAGACAAAACAAAGCTGTTAATAAAAGAGCTTCTGTGTATGAAGCATAGATTAGGGAATAAAAGGAATAATTATTGGCATCTAAATTCTCTAAGTCTAGACACATATGGGCCTGTAAAACCTATGTCTTAAAAGTTTCTTTCTGCTTGATTTCCACGGCTGAGAATGCTGATATTAAGAAATGAGATTTCTATTAATCTCCCTCATCCCTATACTTTGGGTAGTTTTATGACCAAAATCTTCATATTTTCATTAGGTTATGGCAATAATGCACTCCACAAAAAAAAAAAAAAATAAAAAGGGATTTTGGGGTCTTTTTATAATTTCCGGTGCATTTGTACTTTTCAAATCAGAATTTTGTATAGTTTTCATCTCTTTATGAAAATACTTTGAATAAACTTATACTCACTGAGACTGTCACACTATTTTCAAATATCAAGAAAAATATCATGTGAAATTGGAGGTTTCATCAATATTATTTAATGATGCTAAACGTATTTATAATTATAGCAGCAGCCAGCCTCCTCACCCTCTTTTCTCCTCCCCTCCACCAGTAGCCCCCTGTACCAAAGACAGCCCCTTACCTTGCACTTTTCTCTTTACATAGAACAACAGTTATTGAAGCCAAATGGCTTTCTTAAAATGAGCCACTCATTACAAAGAGTCAGGATATGAATTTCTCTAAAAAGCTTTGCTTTTTAAATCAAAGTGACTGCACATTCCCTTCAGGCTAGAAAACAACAAATTATGGGTACTTAATATAGAATTACTGGGCCCATATATTATATATGAGAATATTTTATATTTGGACATCTTCCCTCATTAGTTGGGATAAATTAAACCCTTGAATTTGAGACTAGTCTAAAGCTTTGTAAGCCAGAAAGCACACATTTGTGCCTTTCTTTCATTTTAAAACCCAAGAACCCAGAATCATCAAATGCATCACCCTCATAGCAGTTCTGGGGAGCATAAAAATTTTGTTCTCTGATTTCCAAGTCTAAAAGTACAGATCCATTTTTGTTTATAATAAATATATCTATGGAATTAAACGACTCGCAAAGCCTCCTCAAGAGTGTGAACTTGACCATAAAGATGTCACAAACTTTAAATACTATCAGCTTTAGGAAAATATACTGGGTTGATATCAGATGCAGATGTACTCCAGGCCAGAAGAATTGGCCTCAAGATCTAAGACGCAGTGACTGTCTTTTCCAGTTCTGATGACAATGCTTGTGATAGCGGCTTCTCACAGGAATGAAGACAGATTTTATTACAGCACCTGTAGCTAAAGGGAAAATATTTAAAGAGTCTGTATGCACGAAAAAGGCTATTCTTCTGTCCCAACTCCAGGCTGGTTGGCCTGTGGGTGGTGGTAGATCAGTCCCTGAGCCCTGGCAGTAAGCCTGGGGCCTCAGAGTCTCACTGACCTACAGTCATTGCAATCATCCACAAAGGGACACAGTGACTGAACAGGGATCCCTAGGCTGCTGGTGCCCCCAGTGCTGGGAAAAGTGTGGGTCCCAGCTCACACCTTAAACGTTAGCCCCAGCATTTGGATTTTGAGAGACTTCTAGGCCTGCTGCAATGATCCTTGCTTCAAAGAAAACATTTTATAGTAGACTTCTATTGGAATCCCTTCTTCTCAGCGAGGGATTACTGCTAATGCCCATTAAGCGAGTGACTCATGTGCTAAGTATTTGTTCTTCAGTGGGGAACAAGATTATCTGGAAGACTTTGTGCAGAGATATTTGTCAAGTTGTATAATTGACTAGAATGTCACCAAATTGGAAACAAGTTTGTTTGATCTATGGAAGGTCTCTCTTTAACATATGGCTAACCATAGCCATCAGATGAGTCCTGGATTCTTGGTGGAGAACTTAAATCTCCTGCATGCGACCAGAATACAACACACACTCCATGAGTTCCACTGTGTTGCCACACAAGCTAAGAACAAATTAATCAGAGGCTTTCAGTCAGACAGTGAGTTTCTGCAGAAATAATGATAGCTTTTGTGAGGGAGTAAGGACAGAAAGCAAAGAGTAACTGATGGCAAATTAGAAGAAGGAGCCAAGAATTTGTCCATTTACCGTGATTTTTAGATCAAAGGACAGTTTTTATGAGATGTTCTGGAAAAGATATTATTTTTAAGACAGACTTTTAAAAGCAGAGAATAATTAGTTACTACTAATAACAATAATTTAAAATAATTAATGGCATGCAATAGGCAGTGACTGGACTTGTGGAGAGAAAGTGGCATAAAGAGTAGAACGAATCTCTTTCGAACAGGCAGAAATTTATTTGCCTTATCTTTCAGGTTATGAGTGTTTCTTAAAGTTTTAGAATATAAAATTCAAATCTAATAAATTATCTAAAAGATTAAGGGATTTTTCACTCATTTTGGAGAAGAAATGTTCAGGATGTCAAAGATAATGTGAAGGCATGATGATTATATGTTACTTCTTCATTCTTTCATTCCTTGATGCCATTGGATGTCAACGAACAGTCAAAATGAAATAAATACCAGTATTAAGGCCATTTATACAGATCTAGTTGATCTCTCTGGGCTTGAATACACAGTAACATATGTTGACCAGTTTTCATGGAAAATCTATGCCAAGTATATAAATAAAACAGAGACAACTTAAGATTAGATACAAGCTCTGGATAGTAAAATTTTGATATTACAGCAGCTATTATTATTAATAAGAACAAAAGCAGTGTCTTCGAGATTGGGGTTTATATATGTGGCCAAGGAATAGAGACAAGGAAACATAATAGAGATAGGAAACTAAAATTGAGAACTCTAATCTTTAACAGTGAATACGAACAAGATCACGATGGGAGCCTATTTGTTATCATGACCATATCCTGAGCAGACTAAATTTTCTACAATGGAAATCCTCCAAACGCTTGGGAAGTTTTCTTGGATAACGCAAAACACCCTGAGAGTCCTCCTCGTTCCCCACATCAAAACTTTGAAAGACAGTAAGCATGGAGCTTGACTGGAACCAAGACAGATGTATATTTAAAGCAGAAGGCATATCTGTAAATTGCTGATGGATGTCAAATAGTATTAAAGAAAGAAAATATTAACCTGCCTACAACGGGAATTTCATTTACCAAGTGTTGAATGGGTAAGGTATCTTTAAAAGACCAACTTACGTTAATAAGTTCAACCTCCCAGATTTTTTTCAACAGGTCCATCGACGTGTAGCCATTAATCAGAAAGGCTTTGGTGTAGTCACCTAGTTCAATGGAATCCAGCCACTCAGCAACAGAAGTGGGATGATAGCCATCGTGGCCAATGGGTCTCATCTGAAATAAAGAAAATCACATTAGGATGAGGATTACTTTGAGTTCCAACAGACAGAATGGATCTTGCCACTTGGAAGTTTATTTGATTTGAAGCAACAGTTCTTTTTGGATAAGAAAATAAGGAAAACCAAAATACTTGACACACAAATCTAAGTCACTAATAATTTTCACGCTGAATTAGTTTTCAAAAATGCACCCAGAAATTTCTAATTTAGCTGCTACGCCAACTCCATATTTGAGAAAACGAAATATGTCAAACTTCTGTTAGAGACATTATTGACATTCTGTTGGATGAAATTTAAAATCATGGCAGTTGAGCAGTATTAAATTCAATACTGAAGGCACAAGGAACTGCACTCTTAAAATGTAGATGATAATTCTCATATGTGCAACATCAAAGCATGTGAAAATACTGCACGACTCAAACATCCAAAGGAATTCATGCTTATGCAAGACATGTAGGTAGTGCAAACATGCTGGAGAAACATACTGCAGTGTTAAGCCAGTAAAGAAGAGGCTTTTGGGTGTTTAAAGACCATGTGTTCTGCATAGACTCTACAGTATGTTAGACATGAATAGAGAACTTGCTGGCAGACAGGTTCCTATTTTTTGTCAGCTATATACAGATTTTTTTTTTCTTTAGGAGAACAAAGAAGTGTGACAGCAGCATAATGTTTCTGAGTTTAAATTGGAGTGTGAAAGTAATTTAAGCAAGAGAAACTTCTGGGTTTAAAATTTTGTATGATTATTCTAGTTTTTTTAGCTTTTATTTGAAATTTATTTGAATTTCTGGTTCTTGGCTTTTGAAGTAAGTCACTTCGAAGACTTGCGTTGCTCTGCCTGCCACACAGTGTAGCTAATGCTTCTGTGGTCTGGACAGCAGGCACCTCATCAACCTGATGTTGCAATTCAGGATGGGGAAAGCAAAACTGGGCAAAATACATAGGTTCTCCTCTTCCTTCAGATTCAAGGAGATAAATATCAATGGAAATCTACATGATTCCGATTTGCATGGAGAAAAGATTAGTCTGGCTGTCAGGGATTCAGATTTTAATCCTAAACATGGTAGGCTTTGTTACTATGCAGTGTTCTCATTTTGAAGGTTCTTCTTACTTCTTCATCATGGATTCGAGGTGTTCATTAGGGATCAACACCTAGGCAAGGAGGGTTGAGAAGGAGGGTCAGGCAGAAGAGAAGTCAGATGATGATGGGCCCTGACAAAGCCTCTGTGAACCCTGGGGGAGCTCTGGTTCAGGTCAGGCTCCTAGAGGTCCCGTGCTAGCAGCATGACTGGCCCTTTGTGCCTCACACTCTCTGTCACTGGATGCGGTCGCCATGGGAAAAGCAGGACTCTAGTGAGGCCGCTCTCCACAGCAGAGGCAGACCCTGCAGATGCTGACAGCTGGAGGCTGTCTGCTGACCGCTCTCCTTCCTTGAAGAGAGAGCCTGGAGGAGCATGTCCATGTCTCCCAGAAGACCATGGACCCAGATTCACCCAAGGTTTACATTTGGCCACACTGGGTTTCTACCTTTTTCTCTATACCCACTTCCTCATTCACATGCACACAGCACACGTTTTATTTTAGGTGAGCCATTGGGAAGACATTTCTTTCCCCTGAACCTTACCAGACACGATGAAACGTTACCCCTTGATGCTTCAGCATGCATTTTCTAAAACCAAGGGCATTCTCCTACATAGCCACAGTAGCAGCACACTCAGGAAATCTAACATTGACCAGATTATGTTACCTAATATACAGTCCACATGTAAATTTTACAGGTCCCCAAAACAGAATTTGTAGCTTTTTCGTTTTTCCTCCTGGACAGGCTTAATCAAAGGTCAAGACAACTATGTTTTTGAAGTATTTCTTCTGCCTTTTTATCTCCCTTTTCTTCTTCTGGGATTATATTTACTCCATTTTTAAAAAAAGATTATTTATTTATTTATTTGACAGACAGAGATCACAAGTAGGCAGAGAAGTAGGCAGAGAGGAGGGCAAAAAGCAGGCTCCCTGCTGAGCAGAGGGCCCCACGTAGGGTTCAATCCCAGGACCCCGAGATCACAACCTTGGCTGAAGGCAGAGGTTTAACCAATGAGCTACCCAGGAGCCTCCTTCATTTTTAAATTACTTTTTCTCCTTTCTTTGTTCCTATTGTTCCACACCCCAAACTCTTTTCCACTTTGAGGTTTAAAGTTCCTCTATTGGGAGTTACAGTATCATTTATCATTTGCATTAGAATCTGAATGGGATCAGACTTTTATGTGTCACTTTTACATTGGACTGACCCATTTTAGCTACTCACTGAACATTTGTTCAGTAACATTTAACACAATATTTATTCCATAATAGCTACAAATGTGAACGACAACTCAGGGTTTGTAAAATGAAGTTTAGTGGCAGTTGCAAATAACTAAATGTTGTTTGTGTAAAACAGAAGATTCAGATCCAAAACAGAGGCACAAATGTACTAAGTACCTTCATATACCATAGAGTTATAAACATATTGGGGCTAGCGACATTCTCCAGGACTTATGAAGAGGTGGTTGAACCAATGCTACTATCCTGACTAATCCCTGCATCCTGGGAAACTCCCTGACTGCCCCAGTTGACAGAAAGAAATAGCCAGAGAAAGGGCAAGAAGGAAGGAAGAGAAGCTCACCGGAGTTGAAATTAACAGTTTGGCAAGGTTTCACTGTTAGCCCTCCAGAATCTGACCACCCCAGCAGCAGATCCTGGGGTTGCGCTTAGAGAGCCTTGAATCAATCTGGGGTAGAGTCAGGTGTTCCATCCCAGAGAACTATGCACTGGGGTCCCCATAAGTCATCTGAAGTGTGCACACATGCACATGCACACGCACACACACACACACACACACATACACACACAGGGCAATCACTCATCACCTACCACACAGAGGTTGGGTGATGGTCATAGCTAGCCAGTGATGAGCAGTGGTGAGGATACCAACCAGAGCCCTGCAGAGCAAACCCAATCAGTACAAAAAAGTTTGTTTTTCTTTCCAATCCCTCCTTCTTCCTCCAGTGGCAGGAAATTTGGAATCAGAAAAGAGAGAGGGGCCAGTCCCTTGGGGGAAACCTAAAATTGGGAAGCAGTGGTGGGGCAGGGGTAAAGTGAATAAAATTAGGGGCTTACATGGATTGGAAATGAGTTTTCAATATTTTACATGACTGTAAATTTGCTGGATATGTCTGAATGACATTAAAAATACTAAAGGGAATGTGCCATGGCAAGTGCTGTGAACTGGCGATTCACAGACCTGTACCCCTGGGGCTAATAATACATTATGTGTTAGTAAAAAAATTAAAAATTATTTAAAAAATACTAAAGAGAGAAGCAGTTGAGCTTGGTTGGAGGCAGGATCGGAAAAAAGGCACATCAGTATCTGACTGAATGCAGATTCTCAGTCATGTGGTTCCTCCTGTGAGGCAAGTTCTCCCTGAGCAACCTTGAGGCGGTGAGAGGGAGGAATGAGAGATGGGGGCAAGGCAGAAAGCAAGAGAGAAGAGAACCTGGAAAGAACACAAGAGAACCTGGAAGAGAACACATTGGCGTGTGCCGGGCGAGAGTTCATCCTGCCAGGCAGTCAATAAATATTTAGTCGGTGGCTGTTCTGAATGTCGTGCAGCAGTACAGAACAAAGGAGTCTGAGTCTCTTCCTCAAGGAAATTATGACTCTTAATTAAAAGCTATGCAAACAGATGACCAATAAATTACAAAGGCTCTGCCTACCTGAGGAGAGGAAAGCATTAGAGCCAAATGAAGTTACAGAATTAACTTGACACGTATTTAACGATATGCAGAATGGTTACTGTGCTGCACAGTAATTTCTTCTGAAGCAATTCTTCCATCTGTTCCTTCATTTCTGTTCCTACTGCCACTGCCCTGTTTAGTGAAGTTCTTGTTAGTGCTTACAAAAACTAACGCACTAGCCTTCCCCTTGGCCTCCCACCTTTGCTCCAGCTCCTGTGATGCTGCTGCATTAGTCTTCCAAAAAGTCAGGCTTTTAAGTCAACACCGGCACAAAAACCTATAGTTGCCCCTTCTTGATTGAAGTGAAAATATCCTATTCCAGAATTCTAGGGTAATTGGGATCAGGTATAAACTTAGCTTTCAACTTAATCCTATACTACTCTACCATGTGTACCCTCATACAATTAGACACCGGGGCATGTCTAAACAGCCTGTTAAGCTGTAGCCATGCCATGAACATGAACTGTGTGTGCAAGACACTTCTGTATCTTTGCTCATATTCTTTTCCATGCTTCTAATGCTTTTGCCTTTATTTCTGTAGTGTTTTTCCAGGAGAAGCTTCTCTTCTTGAGCTTTAATATACAAATTTCCAAACATTTGTAGGGTACCTCACATAGATGGCCCATAGCTATTACACAACATGAGTCAAAACTTTATCTCCTTCATCTCACAAACTGGCCCTCCCTCTGCGTTTCCAATCTCCATTAATGGGGAAGTATCACACCATTGCCTAAGTAGATGCTTACTTGGTAAGTCATCTTACTTTCCTCTTTCTGTTTTACTATATATTTGATTAGACCAACGTCTTATAAATTTGATTTCAGTTCCCTCCTTCCAAAATGGACTTGGAATCTGACAATAGTATCTACCCCAAGTGTTGTTGTAAGCATAGGACTTTGAATATAATACATATTCAATAACTCTTAATTTTCTTCCCTCATCACTGCTCTAAATTGGGCTCATGCTTATTTTTATTTATTTGTTTTGCCAATGTTTATTTTGAAATTGTATAATATTGAATCCTTTGGCTGCTGATCTTCTCAACTTCCAATCAAGATTCTTCTTTCCTCTCTCATTCCTTTCTCTTTCCCTCACTTCCTTCCTTTTCCATCTTGTTTTAAAAAAGGTTTTATGTCTGGGGGTGCCTGGGTGGCTCAATGGGTTAAGCCTCTGCCTTTGGCTCAGGTCATGATGTCAGAGTCCTGGGATCGAGCCCTGCGTTGGGTT